ATTTGACTACTGTCTAAGTTATCCTACCGTAAAGAAGAAATCCACTACATAGCACAGAAAGCTTTTTGTTATTATGCCTCCTGCTATCAGGTAATTTTACAAAGCATGAATTGGCAAATTCGCACAACAGAAAACAGTATCAGCTTTCCTCCTAAAAAAAAAAATCTCATTAAAGCCAAAAAGAAGACTTAAAAAGATATTACTCAGGGAAGTATAGGAATTTGTTCAAGGTTATAAACACACTCATTCAAAAGTTTTAAACCTATTCAAGTCTGGAATTTCAGTTAAGGTCCATAAAGTACAAATTTTGTGTTTTACGTCTGTAGTAAAACATTAGAGATTCCTTCTAATTGTTATGACCAATGTCTAATGATTTTAAGAGCAATCTTTAAGTGTTTACAATGTCCTGGAATGTCAGTATAGATTTGCTTTATTTGTGCTGTATCTCTTCAACTTAATCAGCTTCCTTGATTCAACTACTCGTTGGATCATGAAGTATTAAGGATCTTGAAAAACTACAGGTTATGTGGTCCTAAAAAGGGCAGTTTTTGAAATGAATGTTTTGAATGATGACAGTTTTGAATGAAAAACACAAAAACACATTTGAAGGCTTTAGAAGAACTGAGCAGCATCGTTCAGCCTTCTCTTAAAGGAAACAAAAGACAAAAGGAGTAACTTACTTTAGACAGACGCCTGCCTCGTAGGGTAAGCAAACGTTATAAAAGTAGGAACTTTTTGTGTTCAGGGTGAGAGATGCAGATAAGGTCCTTGTTTAGATAAGAAAAGCTGGTGTAACAGATGTACAACAGCTTCCATTGGCTACTTCCCCCATATAAATAAATCTTAACAGATTAATCAGAGATTTGGTTTGCAAGTGATGTGGATACCCAAGTGCTTGCAGGTTTTGTTTTGTCCACAGCTGAGCTACTCAGCCAAGTTACTGCATGGCTTATGGTGATGCACTGGTGACATAAATCACAGCTGATCACTGCACACAAGAGATGGAATATTCCTTCAAGATATAACATTTCTTGGAATTAAAGCTGCTTCCTCCAAGATCTCATTGAAGTCATTCTCCAGGATCTTAGTAACACTGTAATATAAACACCGTCTTAAAGGGATCCTTGTTCCTTGTTCTCATCCCCCTTTACAAGAACTTGCAGAGGTAGAAATCTTTTCATTTGGAGCAGCAGTACTTAGCCGAGCTGACATCTAAGTAGATAGGCAAATTAGCCATGAATTTGTTTGCTTTGCTCTCACATGTTGATTACCCAGGGAAATAGCATGGGCAAGAGCATAAGTGAAAAGTTGGATACTGTTAAAATTTCTGACCCTGATCTATCTGCCCCCTGGTGATTTGTCGCAGGTATAAACATGCATGTTGCTTAATATGCCGTCTGTGTATCAGATATAAGTAACATTTCAAACTGTGCTACTTAAATGATGCTCCCATTATGGTTTTATTGCAGCGTGGTAACAAATTCAGTGTCTTAGCAATCCCGCTTGGATTCCATACTGCAGTTTGCAGCCACGTGACTTTCTTCCACCATTCGTTTTGTCATCAGTGCAAATTAATTTTCTTGTGTTCTGCCCTTATCGCTTTTAGAAAAACAGACAACATCTGCTTTGCAGAGACTCACGAAAGGAAATGAACATTCTTTCTTAGTGGAGGATGACATTAATGACAATAAATCCTCCCAAGACCTTATTTATCTGTCGTTTAACAGTCGTTTCACAGTTACGTATGAAGAGGTGTGAAGTATACTACGATTATCTAAACATTGGTTGGAAAACATTGGCAGAAAAAGGTAGTTGTATTTAAGAGCTTCTCTTGTATATACACGAAGGTTTGGGGGGATCTATTGTGCGTTTTTCAGGATAATTTCTGCATTTAGATGTGCCATTCAAACTAATATATTAAAATTAAACTTAAAAAAAAAAAAATAGGTATGTTTTCCATAATTGTGGAAAACCACAGCTCTCATTGAAATCTGTGCAAACTTTGGGGTGCCAGCCAAAAGATGATAACTGTCTTTAGGCTCCAGTGAAAAGATGCTCTGGAGTGCAGATATTGCTTATTTACTGGAACCATTGCTAACAGAAAAAATGCTGTGCTAGTTGATCATAAGGAGTACTTTTTCTATACTAATATATACCTCCCTTTGCATTAAAGATATTCAGACCACTGCACATATGCGAGGGTTGCTCCAAAAGTAGTGCCTCCTGTTTTATTATCTTTGCCCAATGACATCAGAGGCAGATGATGGCAGTATAACAGTAAAGGCTGAACCCTCTCGCTGGTATCCCATTATATTTTGTTGCTGTGTGACAGATGGCAGCAGAAGAGCAGCCTGACAATATGGCATCTGACATGGAAGTGTATATGAAGCAAAGATTTGTCACTGAATTCCTCCATGCGGAAGAAGTGGCACCCACTGACATTTACTGATGCTTGCTGAACGCTGATGGAGACCAAACAGTGGATGTGAGCACAGTGAGACAGTGGGTGCCACATTTCAGCAGTGGTGACAGTGATGGTGGGTCACCCCCATTGGTGCAGATTTTTAGAATTAATATTAATCAGACAATAAAGGGAAAGGTCTAACAGAATAACAGTCGTTCTTATTATACCAAAGGTACAAAACTCCCATTTGATGGGACGCGACTGAGATGTACTTGAGAATTTGGGAGCTCTGTCGTAATAAATAAACCCACTTTTGTTTCTGTTATCATATTGGTCTACATTTGGCTCACTCTCTTTGTAAAAATCTGATGTTTTAAAATCCCAGGTATGAAAAATCTTGTAAACTTGCATATTTTTGGCAACTGCCTTTTAAGACCAGCTAAGATTCATTAGCAAATAATTTTCAAAGACTACGACGCACATTATGGAAATGCAGCAAATTTGATATATAATGAGTAGCAATGCTGTCAAGGACTAATGACAAAAGCTAATTATTTAGCTGCTGGGATAAGCTAGTCAAATAGTAGAAAGGTGGGTATTTTTGTTTTTGTTTTTGTTTTTTTTTTAATAACATTTTGGTGTAGACTATCACATGGGGAATTTGTATATGGCATTTATAAAGGGCAGAACTTCAACAGTGTCATCCTTGTATTTGAAAGCCAGATCCAGAGGAACAGCTCATCTTGCATGACTGCCCATCTGCTACGTAGCAACCAATGAGTGTGTTTCAGACAAATGAGTACAGCTTCTTGAAGCAGGTTCAGTCCACAAAATGGAATCTGCCATGACAAGCCATGAGTCTATTCCTAAACCAACCATAACCCTCTAATAGAAGAAATTACAGAATAAGGAATGAAACATCTTGTAGAACAACAGAAGATCTTAAAGGTGTGGTTACTAGAATGGCATTGAAATAGATTTGGAATGGAAATCCACATATTTTAAATCTACCCGTAAGTTCTGTAAATACTGGGCAATTTAAAATCATTGAAAGAGACCACACAAAACTGAGAGTGATGCTAGCTCCTGTTTTATTGTATTGTTTTTATTCAAATTGCCAGATCTTGTGTTATGTACTCATCACATAAATCACATGTTCCCTTAATTTTGCTTCAGAGCATCTTGTTTGTGTCTGACCTAATCTATAAGTTTAGATGAGAGTTACTGTAGAAAAGCATGAAATGTGTGCAAATCAGGTCTAGGCACTGAGATCAGAGAAGTTGTGGACTTAGATGCAAGCACAGCCATTCAGCTACATGGGCTTGTGACCATGCTTATCCTGTACTCATATGGGAGATAGTTTGCCAACCAGTTATGGGAAGGGATTGAGAGGAGAAGGAGATCCCTGGTGTATAAAAAGTCTTTTGTGAGACTGTATTTATTGTTTGTGCATCCATCTAGCTGCTAATAATACCTGTCTGTTTTCTTGTTGAATTTTTACAGAAAATGACTTAGTCCTGTCATGGCGTATGTGAAAAATTTTTAAGACAGCTGACTAAAAGGCATGTGAAATGTGAATTTCCCAATTGCTTGTAGTCACTAAAAAGCAATCTGGACTGTGCAGATGTGCTACAATGCAATACCTCTTAATAGGAGATATTTATTTCTAAAGTCTGTGTGCAAAGTGACACAGCAGTGGCCAGTGGAAATGAGTCGGCAGATGAAAAAGGTATGTTTCTCCTCTTTATTTGTTTGCTAAAAAGCGTGTAAATATTGATTCTAGATTAGAAATTTCAGTGCTTAGAGCAAGGCTACAATGAGGTCACATCACTATTGAACCTTAATTACTTCAAGAACTTCTCAAAAGCAATTGTTTCTTCCTCTGCTTAGCAAGAGCTTCAAAAGGCATCAAGTGTTCATCACTATCCCAGTGTTACAAGGCTTAGCTGCTAATAGAAATGTTGGAATATATGCTGAAGGAAACATATGGCTTTGCAACTCAGAGAAGGATTTATTTAATAGTAAAATTTTATTTAGAGATTGCTCATTAATTCTTAAATCAGCTTTTGGTTACAAGTATTTACTTAAGTTTATGCAACATAAATTGCATACGACTAACGCTCAAATTATTCATTATGAATAATGTATTTGAACAAATATAGGCCTTTAATGTGTTTGCAGCTGATTTGTAGTGTCAGTTGGTATTTTTTATGCCTGTGCTTACTTTTTTTCCAAGTTGTTTAGGTTAGAAGTGGAATTTTACATAGCTGCAGGTATTTACTATGCAGTTGCAAGCTGTGTGATTTATTACTGCTGGTGCTTTTTTTTTTTCCCCTCTCCTTGAAAGTCTCTGGGAGTCCACCTGCCCAACAGCCTCCTGGAATGTTTACTGTGCAGGTAATGGAAGAAGAATTGTAAGCTGATTTAAAAAGTTATTCTGCTTCAAATCTCCTTCTGCAAATATTAGTTCATGCAATGGCTGTGCTACCATCTCATAAATTACTGTTCATTCCACCTGTATGAAAGTGTGTGTCCAAATATTCATGACTGAATAATCTCATGCATAGATACTCTTAGTTCATATCAAAGAATTAGAATGAACTGTGAGAAATGTTCCAGAAGAAAATGCTTTTATGGTAAAATAGGATTGTTTCTTTCAGATGAGTTTCTGAGACATGGCTGGAACTGCTGCTAATCCTGGACCTGTGGGACCTGGTGTAGCCCTGTTCATCCTCACTCTCGTGGAAGAGATTGAATGGACCCAGGTAGTTCTCTGATTCTTTTAATGGATGGGTTTCAAATTGTGGTAGTTGAGGTTTTTGCTCACTGCTCAACCCCTTGCTTGTTTAATCAATGGGTGCTAAATATATGCTGTGCAGATGAAAGAGCTGTGCTTAACATTGCATGTGTTTTGTCCTAGAGTGATGTAAACTTGCAGTAATGACTCTTGAGCAGAAAGCAATCGAGTGATAACAGCAGGGCAGAGATGAGCATGAACGCACTGTCCAAGGCAAGAACTTGCAGGTCAGACTCCTGCTGTACGTCTGATGCGTGCATCCATCTTTGGCAGAGCACAGATCTGTGCCACTCTCTGTGAAAGTGTGAAATCCAAAGCTATGCAGCTCTTCAAAGCTTTCACATGAATTTCTGAAGAGTTTATGCAAAAAAGTGCTCTGCTGCTTCTCTCTGTACTTTGCTTAGTGCTATCATGGCTGTCTTGGCTTGTATCTGAATGTGATTTTCCAGTGCAATTTTCCTCTCCTAGTGAAGAGCTAAGCCATTCCTTCACATGACTAGCAAAAATAAAAAATAAAAAGTCCCTGTGTGGTAGAATACTGCTGCCTGTTAATATTATTAACATGTTAATATTATTAATATGCCCTGGATCCATAGCAAAGAGATAGGATTTCAGTTAATTTCTGTGGCTCCTGGCAGTTCTCTCACAACTTGAGCTGTGGGAAAAGCCAAATGGTGGGGGGCTCTCAGCCCTTTTCCCCGGCCCTGAGAAAAATGACTCATGGATTGCTTTCCATGGATCAGCAGCCATGATGCTCTGCTAGGAGACTTTGTTTCCAAGACAACTGTTGCCAAGAAAAACTGGTTTTCCTTGGGAACAATTTCACTTTGTTATTTCCGTACAGCAAACCTTCTTCTGTATCCACTGTTAGAACTGTGAGAGAAGCTCTTGGGGCTCCAACTCCTGGTGGAAATTGAGAAACAGTACGAAGGGAAAGTCATCCTAATCACCAAGAGGGGGTTTGCAGTCTTATGTGGACCCGCACAAAGTTCACGATCTCTCAGAACATGTATGCACTCTGCAAATACAGGCACTGAAATAGAAACCTGTGAGCCTCTTCGGGACATGGTATAAAAAAGGAATTCCAAAGCTTACAGTTCTCTTCAACAACACTTAGTTGGGAATAGATGAGGTCTTTAGGGATATTCAGTATTGTAATACATGTGTATAAAAATCTTACCATTCAGTACAGAGGCTCTGATTAGAAACTTGTGTGTGCTGAAAGCAGCAGATTCCCCCACCTCACACTAATGTGAAAATCTCATGTTTTTTAGTGTTATGCTTTTGAGACATGCTCTCGAAGGATCATTCTGTTTCCTTCAACATTTTTTTTCTGATTTTTAGATCTTCTGGAAGATTGCCTTTGCTTCTCTTTATTAAAGGTATAGTATTAATATGTGTAAAGTCAATAATTCCTTTTGTTACAGAGGTTTCTAAAGTTTGTGATGAATATCTTTACTGTTCTAGCATTAGCTTCCCATTTTTCTGCATTGAATAATTCTATTTCAATTGGAAAGTTTCTTTGAGTATGTCATAATATTAGGTCATATTCAACTCAATGGATTTAATGTAGTTAAATGAATAAGCTATTCATCCTGGTAAGTACATAGACCTACTGACCACCTAGCATCCACCAGAGGTCACTTCCTGGCCACATAATCCATTATCAACTGTGCTTTCAGTTCAGCTGTTAGCTTCTTTTGTTTTGCCCTCAAAAACCTGCTGATTACTTTGAATCCTTTTTAGGATTTAGGATAAGACACAGAAAAAGAAGATCCTGATGAAACCTGAAAAATGTAGAGATTTGATTGATCCCGTAACCTGAGTGGCTAACCATCCCATGCTTTGCAAGATATTAAAGATACGTTATTAAAGATATTAAGATATATTATTTGTAGATAGTAAAGAATTTTGAGTACAACCTGACTCTATCTTGTATAATCTTGTCTGGATTCTCATCTGCTTAATCGTCACAGAATCTTTCACAGTGTGCATTTAAACTGAAAAGCGAAACGTATTTACAGCTTCTGAAACATCAGCAGCGTTTGAGCCTCTTTTGTTGCATATTGGAGAAGCCTGTGTTTGAGAATTTTTGCTTGCCATATGAAGAAAGCCCTCTAAAATTCTTTACTGACAAGTCAATTAAAAGACACGAACAACTCATCCTATTTTGGAAAAGGTGCCATTTTACATCTTATGTAGCTGAAGTGAAAATCTGGAAGTCAGACATCATGTTTCATGAGATGTTATTTTCCTCCAGCATCTCATGTTCTTAAAGCTTACATGTCTTTTAGCTCAACCTGCTCATCTTCAAGGAGATGGAGGAGGTTGTTATATGTGTTCGTGGCAATCTGTCCCCTAAAATGAGGAAACTCTTTGTGAATTGTGAACTTTGTTCGAAATCTCAAGCAAACCCAAACTTCTTCTCAGTTAAGAAAACTTTTTTTTTCTTTGGTCTGGTCTGCTTCAGATCCACCCCATTCTCTTACATCTCCTACATCAGTCTCAGTTTCGCAAACTCCAAACCATAGATCAGTATCTCTTTGGAGACTGTAATAAAAATCAGGAATATTTTTTGTTTATAAGTGTAGTTCCAGACTGAAGTGCAATCATTTAAAGTTTAAGAGAGGAGAAGGTGTATCTGTACCTAGTTTATCATCTATCTGATTATTATTAACACCCGTTGAAAATTTGCTGGGATGTGCTTGTTTAGGTCTCTTATAAACATACTTCAGTAACATGAAGTCAGAGTTTTATACTTTTTGATGCTTATATTAACTGCTACAATGAGTGGTGAGATGAATAATAATTACAATATTATTCCTATACCTTCTTTTTTTACTATGGCATTCTTTCTAGCATTGTTCTACTGTAGAAATTTCGGCCTCATTCACAAGTAATGGAAAAGTTTAAATTGTTCTTTGTATAGACAGTGGGTTCAGGAAATCCAGAGATTTTATCATGGGTGAGGATTGCCTCAAGGTAGCAGCCCAGCTCCAGCAACAACTATCCATGTAGTCTTTGTGTCTGGCTGACAACTGAAAATAAAGAGAGTTTCAGCTCTGCTCCATCCTTCTTACTGTGCAGAAGTACAGTTACCCAGGCAAGGGATAAATCACTATTAATTCAGAAGAACAGGACAGCTTCCACTTGAGATTTTTTAAAGGGTTCTAATTTTACTCTCTGTATGAGCACCTATTAAGAATTGTGCTCCATAATGCCTGGTCTGAGTTTTTTTTTTTCTGAAATAAGGTTATTCCTAGGGTCTTGTTCTTCAGAACTCTTTAATCATACCTCTGATTGTCTCAGTGAAAGGTTTGAAATACTTTGTAAGCTCCTGGTTTGGAGATAAGAGCACACTGTTGGTCTGACATCAAAGCGAATCAACGAGCTGGCTGTGCATTTCTATCCACTGCTGTAGCCATACACTCCTTTGCAAACCTCTAGAAGCTGTCACCCTGCTATGCTATGATGAAAATAATTGGATGTAGCTCCCACTTCTGTTATTGCCATATAATGTTGCTGCTGGTGAAGAGGACTCAAAACTGATGGCTCCAAAGGCAACTTCGAGGCTTCAAAAGCCAGGATTTCTCACGTGATGGGCTGCTTGCTTCTCCAAGAAAATTTGAAGAGCTGCACTTTATACCGAAGAGCAGATAGATATAAGACAGTGCCTACAACCAAATGACATGCAGAAAGAAAGCACATGTGAGCATCTAAGCAGAGATGCTCAGCACTCAGAGAGCGACTAATATTTCTAGAGGAAGGGATGGCTTTATGGAAATGAGGAAGAAAAAAAATAAAATGACAAATCCAGTGAAGAAAACCTAATACTTCTGAATGCTGAACCACCTGCCCTTATGATTTTTACATGTCATTTGACTCGGGAATTTCTAATTATCCTGAAGGCTTGGATAACGCATATAAATGTATTGTTGTGCTGCCGCTTCATAAAATTTCTGTGTGATAAATACATCTCTACAAGACATGGTATGTTTAGTGTTCTGAGCAGGTGAATACTAGGAGTAGGATAGCTGCTGAGAACACTAATTCATACTTTCTCTTTTGCAGACAGAAAACATTCAGAGAGGTTCAATGGGGGAAAAATAAACCAGAAGTTTTTGTGGATTACAAGGTGACAGTATGAGCTCTGGAAGCCATGTGTTGACAGCATATGGATAGCACATTCTAGTTCTTAGCCAAAATAGCCAGTTGATATGGAATTTCCAGCTTCTTATTTAAGGAAATAGACCTCTAATTCCGAATCTTTTCTTCATGGTGTTGGCTTTCACATGTTTTTATCAGATCATGGCTGAAAGAGTTTGAATTGATATTTTCAGCTGGAGATGTCCATCAGAGCTCCCTCTGGGTAAGGAAGTTTTCCACAAGCAGAGTTGCTAGAGCCATCTATTCCTTAGACCGACATTTTATACTACTCTTATTTAACAGCTATCCTTGGCAATATACCCAAAGACAAACTATTCCTAGAGAATTTTAGCCTGCTCACTGTGTCACAGCCTTTATAGGAAGAGAAGTATAGGTGACTTAGTTAAATGTTTTGTTTCTTCACGGAATATTGTCTTTTCTCATCAACACACAAATGTACATGTTTGACTTGGCCAATTTTTTTCCATGGATAATTCAGAGCATATTTCAGGAAAAACAGTCACTGCAGTCAAGCAAGATTCAAGTCGTTATTTGAAAATTAATCCATTGACTGAATAAAGGGGAAAAGCATTACAATCAAAATGAATACCTTTCAGATATCCTGGGTTTTTTTGTTCTTTTTTTTTTTTCCTGTGTGCATGGGGGGCTGTTCTGTTTTGTTCTTCGTTTGTACCGTAACAAAGTCAATATGCATCCAAGGCCAGGCAAAGAGCAAAGGGTTTATTCCCAGAATGTCATACGCAATTCCTGTAAATAGGGGTGGTAAGGTTGAAGTAGATGATCACTAGGATTGTGCAAGACAGAGATAAGCCAGAAAACCCCAAATAAAGCTCAAAATTACAGCTTTTAGTGGAAACTAAAGGGATTTAAGGACTTTTTTTTTTCCTCTTGGCAGGCTGGTCCTTCTGATAAAAATCTAGCCATCTTCTGTTTCAATTCTTCTCTACTACGTTCTGTCACACTAGTTGTCAGGAAAGCCAATGAAGTGATAAGATTTTCACTGTGCACTAAGCAGGTAAAGGTGCTGGTAAGTAAAACTCTTCTTTGCTGTGATAAGTATTTGACCATACTGAGGCCTTGCAAGTTCAAGCATGCCACTTAGAAAGTGGCTGCCCTCATGGTGCACAATAAGCTGATGAAGACGACTGTTAGCAGGATGTGTCTGTCTATTTAACAGCATTCCGTCCCTCAGTATTCTCTATACTAATGTAATATTTACTTTTGAAGAGCAGTTTCCCCAGTATTTGACTCAAAAGGGCCGTCCTGTCAAATTTAAGCTTCAGGGCTGATGACTCAGAGCTGTCAGCTCCACGATTAGGACTGTTTTGCCTCCTGGCTGCCTCTTCCAGGATCATTTCCCTGATTTTTACCTTCACTGGGTGAGTCATGTCACAATATACTCTTTATGAAGGAATGGAAGAATTTTCTGAGATATATCTTTTGAAACAAGTGTACCAATATCAGTTCCAGAACTAGCTACCTTCTAAGTATTAAAGAAGCTTCATTTCAGGGCCTGATTCTGATCCTTCTGCTTAAATATTCTGCAGTTGTGTAAACCTTGCAACTCAAGGAGTGTTACTGCACCCACACTTGGCTTGATTCTCCATGCTGGAATCTCCACCTTCTCTAAAATTAAATATGGATTGCAAAATCTATGTTTCCTATTTTAGGAAATCCCTGAGATTTTTCTGATACAGTGGGAATATTTTGCTTTTTTTTTTTTTTTTTTTTTAAATCCAAACTAATATTGATATAAACTGTCATTGATGTCTTTTTGAAGTGATACAGCTGCCACGCAACCCTGCCATCAATTTCTTAGAAGTGAAAGAGACCCTTTGGTTCTCCTAGAATAAAGAGTTGGAGCACTCATCTTGGAAAGCTTTAGAGGTAAGCAAGTGGTAGCTTCAGAAGGCCAGTAGCCAAAAACAACACCAGTCTGTGCGTTAGGGACTCTGTAGTGACAGTGTACTCTGCGAGCTTTTGGTTTTAAATTTTGTTTTGTTGGATCATTATTATGAACTTTTTCATATTGCCTTTGTGAGAGACAGAAGTGGTATCTTCCCTGGTACCAAATAATAAGCCAAGTATAAAAATCCAACAGAAAAAGCCCTTGGATGGATGAAAAGAGCTGTCTTTTGTCCGTGATGCTGGATAGGAAAAATAAATTGGATTCAAACTCTATTCTTACTAGTTACCTAAGTAATTTCCCTTGTTTTGTTTTGGTGTAGGCAGTTGCTCCAGATTTGGATGTGAGCCTGCAGAGAAGTACACAGAAAAGCTCCTTAAACTGCTTTCTTTTCTTACTGATCATGTTCTCACAGTAATAAGCTAGTGAGTGCATTTTATATTTCACATTATCAGATGAAACAAGGCAGAATAGGATGTTCTCCATGGGGAATTTTTCCTGAGGCTTAAAATAAAAAGTGATTAGCAAAATTCGTGCTGGATATGATTGTGCCTCCTTATCCTCATGCTTAAGACAATATTTCCTTAAACATGTTACCTGCTTTAGGCTGATTAGCAGAAAGGAGAGAAAGCAATGCCAGATGACTTAGAACTCATTTATCCTTTAAGTTTATCAGATCATGTTTGTGGTAGTTTCATTTGTTGTTGTTTGTTTGCTTGCTTTTGTTTTCAGTTAAACACAAAATATATTGGACATGTTTGCATCAAATTTGACCATCTATTAAAATGGAGAATAATTATTTTTGTGCAGCTCGTCAGAACATAATGCAGATCTTTATCTTGTGATATTATTGCCTGTCACTGTTCTGCTCAGAGAGGGCAGCAAAGTATTGCAGTTCTGAGATCCAAGAGAACTTCAGCTCAGAGGCATAATACTGAACAAGTAATGTATCTTTATTAATATACAAGGTGTGAAAGGAGAAACTGAGAGGCAATCAGATGATGATTATCTAAGCACACCTGAAATTTTTGTCCTTTAAGCTATCAGTGTCTGCTAGTACTGAAGATATTATCAAAAGTAATATCTTAATCTAAGTTTCAACATACAGTAATCCTAATAGTTGTAGAGAGAAGAGTCCCTGCAGAGATGAAATAGCTGGAAAGTTTAGGATTCGTTGCAAACTGTCATTCTGTATGAATCATTTGGCATAAAGAGAAATTATTTAAGTTTAAACTTGCTATGAAAAAATACATTAAAATGGATTTGTAGCATGGTGAAACGGATGATATTTTCTTTATACCTTGACATTTTCGGATTTTTGTAAGCTTCATGTTTTTCTTCTGGTTTCCATACATAAGGATACAGTCAGAGGCTAGATTAAATGGTTCAAACACTACTCCCTGTTCTTGCTCTTTGGAACAAAGATTGAATTATATTTCCTGGGCAATGCAGGCAACTTTTTCCTAGACAACCCTTTAAAATGATCCCGTAAGTGGATAAATTTGTGATGTGACTCTGCTTTATTTGTCACAGATCTGTGGACTTAGCAATGGCTATTCTTCAGCCTTTCAGTGCCTTGCTGCTTTGTCTATCACTGATGATGGCAACAAGTTCACTTACCACAGATAAACCTGAAGAGAAAATGTATTCATGTCCCATCATTCAGTGTAGTGCTCCTGCAGTCAATGGATTACCAGGCAGAGATGGAAGAGATGGTCCTAAAGGAGAAAAGGGAGATCCAGGTACAGAGTATTTTCAGTAGTGTATTTTTGATGCTCCTTTTCATCCCTTTAGTCTTATTTTATGCTTTTTCTGTTCTTCCACTTTTCTACTTCTTCTCTACCCTATTAACCTTTTGCATTTTCTGTAAGTTTGCAGAAATCTGTCTATAAAGCACTTGCTCCATTTTTAATTCTATTCTAGATACTTGGATTTAATAAATAATTTTTTTTAAAAAAAAAAACCATACTAACATAAAATTCCGTTTTCACAGCAGCCCAAAGAACGGAGATAAAATGAGATTTTAATCTCTATGTACCATTTGTATTCTGAGCCATTTACAGAGTTTCCTACGTACCGTACTAAATGATGTCTGCTTTCCTTTCCAGTGGCCAGCTCTCAAAACCAGAAATCATGCTTGCTGCAGTTGGCTACTAACCTAATGGTAATAATTGGATTGCTTCAAATTAACTAAGTCCCAGCAACTGAATTTCCCCCAAGACACGATTTGACAAACAGTTGCTGCAAACAAACTGATCAGAAAGTGCTTTCTGTCATACAGTAGAACGGAGTCACCACCTTTCCCAAGACATAAAATTGTTTCTGAGAAGATATTTAATAAGTACATACAGAACTGCATACTTTATTACTACATCCTATGCTGTAAGGAAGTTTTTCCTCATATTCATATGGAATTTCTTGTTCTGTCACTGGGCATCACTTAAAAGATCCTACCCCCACTTGACTCCCACACCTTACATATTTATAAGCATTGATAAGATCCCCTCTCAGTTTTCTCTACTGCTGGCTGAACAGTCCCAGGTTGCTCAGTTTTTCCTCATATGAGATGCTCCAGGCCCCTAATCATCTTTGTGGTCCTCCACCGAACTCTTTCTAGGAGATCCCTGTCTTTTTTTGAACTAGGGATCCTAGAGCTGAACACAGTACTCCAAATCCGGTCTCACTAGGGTAGAGTAGAGGGTGAGGATTATCTCCTTTGACCTGCTGGTTGCATTCTTTTTATTGCACCCTAGGGGTACCATTGGCCTTCCTGGCCACAGAGGCACACTGCTGGCTCATAGCCAACCTGCTGTCCACCAGTACACCCAGATCCTTATCCTCAGAGTTAATTTCCAGCAGGTCAGCCCCTAACTTGCACTGACACGTGCAGTTATTCCTTCCCCAGTGTAGGGCTCTACACTCGCCCTTGTGGAACCCCATAAGGTTCCTTTCCGTCCAACTCTCCAGTCCGTCCAAGTATTGCTGAATATCTGGACAGCCTTCTGGTGTGCCAACCACTCATCCTAGCTTTATATCATCATGTCATGTGTATACTACATCTCCTGGACTTAGTTAATTACTTTTCAACATCCAAGCAAATTCCTATCAGTATGAATACCACTTAATATGTATTTAGATATTCGGGTTGCCCAGAAAAGCTGTGGATACTCCATCCCCATAGGCATTCAGAGCTGGGGTGAATGGAGCTCTGGGCTTCCTGATGTAGTGGGTGGCAACCTTGCCTGCAGTAGGGAGTTGGAACTGGATGATCGTTAAGGTCCCATCTGACACAAGTCATTCTATGATTCAATGACATGACATAAGACATAAAATTTATCTGGAGTATATAAATGTTCAGTATAGACATTTTCAGTATCACATATCCTCAGTATGCTCCCTGTTGTTTCGTGGCTGAAATATGTAAAGCCAGCACTGCCTGATTAAATAACTTCAGAGGTATGCTTGACCTTTATTACATTTTATCTAATATAATATATGGTTGGATTACGTATAATGACTTTCTGATTTTAGAGCATGTGTCCCTCTGCAATAACAACGTTTGGAATTTCATTTTCATAAATAGATATAGTAAGGAATTTTGCATCACAGCGATTTTTCATCCAAGTAATGCAGTTCCTAGCAAATGAATATTTTGACAGGAACAATTTTCAGGTGGAAGTAGGGGTGGTGTTTCACACAATGAGTGGTTAGAAGACTTCAGCAACGGCAAAATGAAATGATATCAACCACTAAAAGTTAATATAGTATTGAAACACCTTGAGGATATTTCTGTTAGGTTTCTCATTCCTCTCCTTTCTACTGAGTTAGGACTTCTGGCCATGCTCTATATTCTTAGTTCTCCACTGTTCAAGATGTGTATTACAAATTATTATTATTTTAAGATAAAATGCATTTACCGAGTGGGGTGTTCTTTTTTTTTTTTTTCAGCCTCCATTGTTTCTACAGTTAGTATTTACCTAGAACTTGAGGATATTTTGTGTTTCGTGTACAAACCTCAAATACTGAGTATTTCTCAAAAGAATTTCATCATTCATAAAGTGCAGTGTAATCTTACAGTGCATCAAGGAAAACTAAAAATGAATTAATCTCTTCACCTCCTATCCTCAGCTGGGTTTGCAACCATCTTCCTAAGAGAGTCTTCGGTGTTTGTGTCTTCTGCACATTGTTGCTAGTTGTTAAACTATTCCTCAGTTTGGGACTCTCTCCAAGCACTAAGGAAAAATGGTGGGAATATACTCTCAGAAAACATTAAAGCTATTTTCTCTCAAATTAAACTCTAGGAGAAGGATTGAGAGGTCTGCAGGGTTTGCCTGGAAAAGCAGGACCTCCAGGATTAAAAGGAGAGGTGGGACCACAAGGAGAGAAAGGTCAAAAAGGAGAACGTGGAAGTAAGTAGTAAAGCTCTCGTGTTTCTCTAATCTATTTTTCAACCTTTTAGTGTATTATCTTAAAAATATTTGTTTTAATATCTGCCGTTCTTATACATTTGAAGAAAGGTGTGAAGGTTTGATATCCAGAAGTGTAAGGAGCAAACAGATAAAACTCCTGTTACTTAGGGGATGAGTTGCCCAGCATAACTTGGGAAAAAAGGTGTCTGGAGTGAGTCACTAGTTTTTTGTTGTTTGTGTCTGAAATAACAAATTCTTTCACTCATATCACAAAGGCATTTCCCTTTAATTCTTTGTCTGTTCATTTATTTTCCTCTTTAATTCATTTAAAATGCTCACAGTTGTGTTTTACCTTTGAGATCTGGGCTTTTCAAGATGAATTGATGAGGCTTGTCAGCTCTGAGAATTCAAAGCCCACCCAAATATTCATCCGAGTTGGAAATGTGGCTCTCTCAGTGGCACAATTTCCCAGAGAATGATTCTGCAATGTGTGCCCTACGGTTTCTGCTCTGGAAACCAAACGTCTCTCACACAGAATCACATTAGGTGAAAGACAGCAGTGGTGTAGTTATTTTTAAAATAAATTACTAAGTAATACTCTTAACTCTTAGTTGTTGTAACTGATGACCTGCAACGACAAATAACTGCTTTGGAAGTGAAAATGCGGGTACTGGAAGATGACTTAAACAGATACAAAAAAGGTAAGATACAATCATATTAACTTTCTTTCTGGAGTTTCCATACAATTATTATAAGATGGTAGACTCCCTTGACACTAGTTCTGGATACCTGTTGAAGCCAGTAAGGTAAAATAAATGTCTGTCACAGAAAGCAAATGCATTTTGAAAGGGTTGTTGCAAGCCCAGTCCTATCTATTAAATGAGCAAGAGGCTCACTTTCCATTGTTGTTTTGTTTTTTTTGTATTTTGTTGTTGTTGTTGTTGTTTTTTAATGAAAACCTGGCAGGTATGTGAACTATAGATGTATATTTCTCCTAAGGTCATTAATATTTTCAAGACAAATATTCAGTTTCCTAGGCTCACTAAAGCTGTGCCTTTATGCCTCGTTTGCACTCCTTGGTTTGAAACTCTGAATTTCATTACAGTCTCTTAGCTTTAGTTTCTGTGATCGCAGGTTAAAACTAATAGGTACGAAAGATCTCCTAATGGCAGCTCAGTTCCTCTGCATGACTTTTAATTAGTCTCTCATTTTTTCATTGAGACCTGGCAAGCTTTTTTTGTCATTCCTTCAGATCTTGATTCAAGAGCCGTAATAATATGTGAACAACAAAAATATTAAAAATGACCTGTGATCCAAGCCTTGTGAAAATCCTGTTTTATTTAAATGTGGATTTGGTATATCCAGGTGTTAATTTTGTTTGATTTCTGTTGGATTCTGCCTACTACTACAAGTAGTCTGCTTGTACTAAATAGCAGAAAACAGTAATAATTGAGATATTATGGATAAATTACTTTAGAATCTTAAATTTATGGTGTAATTCAACATGGTGTTTGCTTTTTCTTCTAGCCATGATTTTAAAGGACATCGTGAACGTTGGTAAAAAAATGTTTGTCTCAACTGGGAAGAAAGATAATTTTGAAAAGGGAAAATCCCTTTGTGCAAAAGCTGGAGGTGTGCTTGCCTCTCCTAGGAATGAGGCTGAGAATACAGCTTTAAAAGACTTAGTTAGCCCTTCAAGCCAAGCTTATGTTGGGATATCCGATGCACAAACTGAGGGCAGATTCATGTACCTGAGTGGTGGGCTTTTAACTTACAGCAACTGGAGATCTGGAGAACCAAATAATCTGAAAAATGAAGACTGTGCAGTGATAGAAGGCTCTGGAAAATGGAATGATTTAGACTGTTCAAATTCAAATATCTTCATTATTTGTGAATTGTGAGCAGCTGATAAATCGAAGAAAATCAATCCAACTTTCTTCTCTCGGTTGTGTGGTTGTGTAGAAGTTTGTCACTATATTGCTGAATAGAACAATCAGAACCAGATCATATTTACAGTGGTTTTCTTTTTGACATCCGGTCTTGAATCTCCTAGTGAAACAAACCTATTTGTTCACTCACTGTGAATTAATTTGTTTACCACATGATATGCTGAGGATCTTACGTTTACGCTGTAGGCTTCAGAAAGGTTTAACTCCATGTCAGCTCCAGTATAATCCCAGGACTGGGTGCCTACTAACATTTGAAATGTGTTTTCCATTTCGTGCCCTAGCACGATCTGGCTTCTTATCTTTATCTGCACTTTGTGAATCACTGAACTTAAAATGTGAACCAAAATACATTTCACACATTTCATTTAAAAACATGGAAATGTTTGGTTAGGAGAGCATTTTGAATCTAGTTTATGGAATATAATGAGCTATTTTTATACGAAATATTATTATTAGGTGATTAAGCTAATAAGTGGTATTTCTGCTCCATTGCACTCATATGTTCCAAGTCTAACATATCAATCAAACAGGTGTTCATAATGTGGAATTGTAGTTCAGAGACCATAATTTGATCTGAGCCATATTACTGTCGCACATGGGAACGTGGTTTCCCCAGAGTCTGAGAAGAAAAGCACAAGTCATGTTTTCCCTCTGCATTTCTGTCAGGAGACTACAAAGCTGACGGCTGCAAATAATAATTGATGAATTCTCTTCTGCTGGTAAAAATTAAGTGTCTGTTGACAGCCAATGTGATTTGGAACTCAGCCTTTACAGAAGACCTGTCCTATTTCTCTCTCTTCACAAGTGTGTTTATAACTTTTCCACCTTCTTCTGCTCCTATGAGAAGTAGTGTGACCTCGTAGGTGACCGCCAACCCAACAGCCTCTTCTTGAAGTGTGTCCGAAAGACCCTGGTTGTGCTCTCTGCACACCAGAGAGTGCACAGGAGACGAGTACTCTTTGGTTGGTTGGTTGGTTGGTTTTGTGGGTTGTTGGTTTGATATTTTTTTCATTCAGTTTTGTTTAGGCAAAGCCAAATGCTGCATTATACATCTGGATTACTTGGTCGGCCTCACAACTGAAATGGAAATTGTTGCTATAGAGTCTGTTGTTATGGAGATACATTTAACTGCTGTCATGCTTGCAAGCAGTAAGGAGTAGAGCTTTTTTATTTGGTCAGATAGGAAGCTGTCACCCCACACAATACAGAGGCTTGATGTGGAGCATGAAGAAACCGTGGCTCTAATATATTCTCCAGAAGTTGTCAAGTGTAAAATAGTCTTAATTGAGCTTAGTTTGCAACAGCTCTGAATTTAAAATAATATCGTACTTTGTCACAAGAGACATTTTAGATGGCAGAAAAGAAAAATAATTACAGGTTGTGGAAGGACGTGAGTTTTCTAGACCATGAGATAGATGCTAATCTGCATCATATTCTCCTTGTTAGTAGCAATGTCAACTGCATTCCCTTCCTTCACTAATTGGTGTCCTGCAGCTATGGAAATAAGAACTTTTAACATTCTGCCTGGGAGTTTTTTAATCAATATTTATTATATGAAAATGTAGGATAGGGCTCAACGTTTAAAAGACTGATTTGGGTTAATTTAGGGCAAAAAAAAAAAAGATATATTCTGGAGAGTTGAGTACTATCTTGTTATGCTTCTGTTTCGAGATCTGTGGTAATTCAATCTCCAGTGTATTTACTTGGAAAGAATAAGTCGGTCAGCCTTGAGATGATCTTCAAAAACACTTTGGTATGTTTTGTGACCATTTCGTTTGAAGCTGGGCTGAGACCAATGCCTCCAGTAGGTCAGCTGGTAAGTCACTGTGTCTTAGCTGCTGATTTGAAAAGAATTTGGAGTAATATTTTGCAGGTGTAAATGGCTCTGTTTTCCTGTTGTCGTTTTGAATGTTTAATTTCACCTCATAATGCTAAAAATGAACTGTCAAAATCTCACTGTTATGTGAGAATTTCTCTTTTAGCCTGCATCCACAGCTTCAACCGTGCTGAGAGAAACCATTATAAAACGGTAATATAAGCTTTTAGGATCTGTAATAGTTTGGAGACAGTGATGAGAAAAATAAATATAATAGTTCTTGTATATACGTTTGATATTTCTTTACACACCATGATGTTAAAATAAAAATATTCTAAGTAAATGAAAGCTGTGGGGAGGTTTAGGTTAGATATTAGGAGGAAGTTTGTCACACAGAGGGTGGTGAGGCACTGGAACAGGTTGCCCAAGGAGGCTGTGGATGCCCCATCCCTGGAGGCATTCAAGGCCAGGCTGGATGTGGCTCTGGGCAGCCTGGTCTGCTGGTTGGTGACCCTGCACACAGCAGGGGGTTGGAACTAGATGGTCATTGTGGTCCTTTTCAACCCAGGCCGTTCTAGGATTCTATGTCTTTATCAGAAAATATTTAATAAATACTATTCCTAATTGTCTAATTGTCAGCGTTTCAAGAGTCCAGCTCTGAAATGTAGGTTAGACTAATTTTTACATGATTTTCCCCATGGAATACACCTTTTTGAAGTTCGTGATACTTCTTGCAACCTTATGTTAAGACTGTTTGCGTTTGGAGAACACTGTGCATCATTTGGATGGAATCTACACATGCTGAAAAACCCTCTGCCGGTAAGTGCAAATATATTCTTATGCTAAAAGTACTGAAAGTGAAGCATGTGTACATTTATGTTGCAAGCTTAGTTTCGTACAGTTCAAATTTTCTAGATAGCTATCTTTTTTTGCCCAATTGTGGACATGAAAGCAAGAACAACGTATAGAATAAGTTTGAGTTATTTTTTAAAGTCTTTTTCTTGAAGTAGACACCTTGTCTTCTGAATCCTTGAGATCTCTGACTTAAGTGATATTTTTTAACTCAGTGAGGTACTCTTGGTGCCCAAAGTTATGACCTTTCTCCCCACCCACATTAGGGACAGCATTCACTCTTTAGTGACACTGTTTTTTAATAGATGAACAACAGAAAGTGAGATTGAAATTATTTTTCAAGAGGCTTAAATCAGCATCCCTGATGACCACTTAATTTTACATTAATTAGAAACTAATCTGTATTTGCTGTTATACCCCTGATTAGAACCTCTCATGTGGTGTTAATATGACCTTCACAGAGCTTCTGAGCAATTCAGGATGAGAGCAGCGTCTGTTAATCAGCTGCTGGATTTATCTTTCTGAAACACAGCACAATTTCAGGCTGAGTACAGGCTTAGGAAGAGCTATCCTGTCACCTGTGAACAAGCCATTATTTCTGAGAAGCTCTTTTGTTTCTTTTCAGTTTTGAAGTGTCATTTTTCAGTGGGAACTACAAGACGGAAACGGGAAACTATTTCAATCAGAAGTACCTTGTACTTACTGTTTTATTTATTAATCATAGAATGTAATTATGGGGGAGACGTTGATAATTTACCTAGACTAGAGGGGAAACATGCCTTTTACTCTGGCTTATTTTCTGCTCTCACAGAAGGCATTGTCTTCACGAGTGAAACGAGCAGAGAAGTGTTATGCAGAGTAGACTGTGGCTATAGTACTACCAAAGTGGCTCTACCTTATGGCCTGGGAAAGAAAAATAATTCTTAGATTGTAGTTTGGCCAGTAATGCCCAGGAAAAGAAGTAAGGCAGGAAGATCTGGAAACAGAAGTGCAGTCTTAAATCTCTTTTAAGCTTTGCCAGATTTCTCTGTACTTGCAGCAGGATTGGATCCTCTGTCTTCTCTCTAGGGAATGACTTTATCCTGAAGCACCTGCAGTTAACATCCCTTTTTATGGTCTGTGACCCTAGTGATGTTTTGGGCACTGTAGCTTGAGCTGTTTAGATCAGTGCTTCAGGGCAAACTGTTGCAAGAACTATTTCTTGGCTCTGTTTTATTCTGGTTTGTTTATGTCTAAAGCTGGCAGCACAATCTGTCCCACAGAGCCGAGCTCGTGCTTTAATCCTGCATGAGGCATCTTTGCAGTGGAAGGAAGGCTGGCATCCTCCTCCAGCCCTGGAGAGTTTCTGTACAGATTAAAACTTCAGGCAGCAGGAGTTTACGCTGGGCTAAGTAAATGAAATGTGAGAGAAATGGCCAACCACCTTTTGGATGTGTGGTTTCAGAGAGACTTCGCTTGAAGGTGTTTCTGAGATGTCCCCAAAGAAATGAGTAAGGAGCTTTCTATGCTCATTTAGGAACAAAGCTCTGCATCTCTCCTATCAGATGAGAGCATCTGCCTGTGTGACTGCAGTTCTTGGCGAGTTTGCCTTGTGCAAAGATATGCACAAGAAAAGGCTCTGTGCAGCTCCACCCATTCCAAAGATGACTCCCAAGCATGCTTTTTCTTCAGACAAGAGACATTGAACTGCTACAAACTACTTTAGCTGAGTTGGACACAGCACTTCACCAAATTTACTTGGAAGTCTTGAAATCACTTAAGCAACCTAATCAGGAATACTTTGGTTATCTCCTACATTTACCCTTTGCAGATCCAGTGGTATCTGTGCAAGGCTGTCCCACTCGGAAGTTGTTCAATCAATGCTGTTCTGCTTACAGACCACAAAATTTTAACTCCTCTACTTCCCCTTTATGCACTCTTTACCCTACATATACAGCTATACGTATACACAAAAGCAAAGTTAAGGTGGGAAAAGAGAAATGTGGAAAGAAATGTGGTTTTCACCACCTTATTTTTTTTAAAGAGGCACACAACAGCTAAAATGAAGACAAAGGTCCCTTTCAGCATAAATCATTCTGTGATTATATTCTATGATTCTATTATATGATCTTAGTATTACTTCCTAACCCTGCTAAGTAAATCATATATGTTTGCATCAAAAATTAGCAAAATAAACATTAACTTAATTTGAAGAGTCAGATTGCCCTCTGTGTGCTGCTGTTTTCTAGAACCTGTTATTTAGGTTTTCTTTAGGATAAACAGCTTAAAGTTGAAAAGGATTTCAATTGAAAAGTTCTACAAGCAAGCTGAAAATGTTTGCTTCTTTTTAATCTCATGTTTTAAAGCGTAGATTAAGGCATAGCCTATATTTTTTGCAATTAGGGACGCAGTACAGTGATCATACAGTGAGCAAAGCTGCCACTCATCAAATAACAGCAGTTGTAAAAGCTATTAACTATGTTTCTAATGTCTCTAAGTGCTTAAGAGCATTATGTGTCTGTTCACTGAAAATTGTACACTGTCCTCCATCTCACGTTACTAGGAGCTCTCCAGTGGTTTTGAATGCTGCAGCCCTGAAGTTATCTTTGCCTAATGCTCTCAGAATAGCTCTGAGTTTGGTCCTTAATGTAGCAAATTGTGTGAATCGTTGAAAATTTAATAGTTTACATCACTTGTCTCTGTTACAGTGG